ATCTTTGCATCTCACTGACGGAAAAAAAAATCCTAAAATGTCGAAGTAATCATTTAAGTATGCGAACACTTAAGCCACAATGCTATTGAATGAAGGCGCTAACTCAGAAAACTTGTTGTAAGTGGTTGCGTCTACATACTCTGGGAATTATCTCCTGTCCTGTGTGGAACAACCTGCAGAGATTTGAACGTTGACTAGTTAATCTTGGCGAGCTTAAAGTAGTCGTTAAGTGAATCAATTAGAAACTGGCAAGGCTTTGATTTGGTTGAGTGATCTGGGAGTATGCCACCATTTCCTCTGTCCCGATATATTCATCACTTTTTTCTCTTAGCTCCTGCTTCCTTTTCTTTCTTTTTTCTCATAAATGAATTTTAATAGATCCTATTGATGTCTTGGCCAAGTCTCCATATGCGTAAAGAGAATCTGTATCTCATAGCATCTATCCCAGAACATTAATCCAGTCTTGTGCTCACTGTCACCTCGCCAGTGGGCTACGGCTGCCATGCTACTTTGGGCCACTGGCCGACTGGGCTGTGGGAACACCTCGAAATGCTGCCTCAGATCACCCTGCAGCACTGGCTGAGCTCCAGCTGACAGGCTTCGGCCTAGCGCTCTAATGACTTACAGATTGCAGCGCTGTGGTATACATGTGTCAGGACAATGCCATGGGCCTACTGCAAAAACAGTAGGAGAGGGAGAGAAAGAGAGCCGGCGGCTTCTCCCTGTCCTGTCAGACACAGGCTTGGCCCCTGGATTGTGTCACATCACGCTTCCCCCCAACAGACCACAAATGAAGGATGTGAAGAGCAAACGCAGGGAGGAGGGGCGTTGGAGGGGGCGCTCTACAACTTAAAAGGCTTTCATCCTGTAAACTGAAAAGACATTATCTTTTGACCTGGAGGTGCCCTCTGTGAGGCTGTACACTGTGGTGTGAAAACAGAAAGAAAGAGAAAGAATAAGGAAACGCAGAAGAAAGAAGTTTGGACTGTGTCTTCAGCCAGTAATGGTGCAGATAAGAAAAATGTCTGCTGCCACAGTTTTGAAGCTTTATCATCAGTTTCTCTGTGTCTGAGGAATAACAAGTAATGCACCTTTGACATCATGAAAATGTTCAATGCAACATTTATCAGATAATAGGGAATAGTGTATCTCATTTGAAAAAAAAAGACATGATTACTATAAATACTATGAGACCCAATGAAACCCACAGGTCTTTACCATGAGTAAATTCCTTACAGGAGCCCCTCACTTAAGACGAACATGAACAGATGACATGAGCATTTCAATAACATATCCGTATCAGCATTACTTTGCTGATATGATATGAAATTTAACAGGATTCTAATATACAGGATTATTCAAGTTCAAGTATCATAACATTATATATTACATTGTTTTATTAGTGTTTGATAATAATATTTAAAATACGTATTTGTATTATTTACAATATGTAAATAAATAATCAATTATTATTGATGATAAAGTTTGTCCATGTACAGGGCACCTCTAGGTCAAAAGTTTATGTTTAAACTGCAAAATATCAAACCCATATTACATTTCTTTGTCATACGGGTTTGATAACATCATTGGAATCCTTGCCAAATTATTTTTATAATATATAAATCAGCCGATATTTCCGTATAATAATTGTTCAAAAAATCCCTATCAGTCAGATGATACATAAAAGTTCTCAAGGTAACCTAAAAGAAAGTTACTTTACCCTCAACTTTGCAAACTATTTCTGTTTTGACCACAAATACAATCTGTCCTTAATTACATCCATTCAGATTATCTTTACTTTCCCATATTATCTACCTGCCTTTCTTCTAACTGGTCATTTACATGCTCACTCAGTGCAGTCAGCAATGTGTGCACATGCACTACATGTGTCCACACATATAACTTCAGCTGGCCAGTAGCCATAGCTCACACTGTACCAATGACGGTCAATCCCAGGCATTATTCTGGATGTGAAACAAGCATAATCTCAGTATTACACCACAGCAAAGACACCATGTTGACACAACATCTTCAGCCCAGCTGAACGCCACATAATCCTCTATAGGAGGTGGATGTCTACCCAGGATCCCTTGCAATGATGTGTAGTTAACCAGCCGGGCTTGCAAGCAACGCCACAAATGAGCTTCAATTTCTCCCTCCCCCCTACCTTGGTGCTCGTGGACTATCAGCGAGGGTCCGACAGTGTTGTTCCTAATTACCTATTTCTCCAATCCTGATCCTGCGGCTGGCATAATTAGTTACCTGGGGCTTCAATCCAATTTGAAGTGATGACAAGAAAGTGATCCATGAAAAAGTAATAAGTTAAATCCAATTTCAGCCCGCCTCTAATTAAATGCACATGGAACTAATGAGTCAAACCCTACCATTTCACTGATAATGGTAATTAGCGGGGTGGGAGTTGCTGGCTCTTGTCGTTGTGCCACTGTAGGTGTGAAGTGCAAAAGGTAGAAGTGGCATGGATTCTTTTAATTACACGTGTCACTCTGTCAATGTAATTTACTGGCTTTTTGACCAGTCAAGTATGTTTAGCTGCTTTCTCAGGCAGCACAGCAGCTGTTTGTATATATGGTGTGATTAAAGCACCTCTAGGCTGCTGAGTGTTCAGCAGAGGCATCTTCACCCAGAGGCAGGGGTGGGTGGTGCAGGGGTGGGGGTGTTGCAGATATAAAACCAAAGAGCCATTTAATGCTGATCAAGGATTCTGAGGCTTGTTTGACTCATATTTTCCCCCCTTCTGCGAGTCATTTTTTTTAGATGTTCTGTATATACTGTGCTTCATTATTTTTGATTTGAATAAGAATGAATTGGAAAGTGAGTCACATCTCCAAATGAGTAAAAGTCTTTGCAGCAGCTCCTCGTGCCTAATGGGAAGGACCGCTGAGATGAATGGAGACTCGTTCGCAGATCAGGTGCTTTTATGGGGTGTCAGCTTACTACACAGCCTCATAATTGTTGGATCATGTCTTTTGATGACCCAGTCCAGCTCAACAGAGAATCATTATCCGGGCTGTGTGATGGAGATAGCGGACATTCTGTGTGCGGAGTGCTGCTCCAAGCATGGGTCTGTTCTTGAAAGAGGAAGTGAGATGAGACTTAGGCCGTAAGTCTCTGCTGTTTCACAAAATATGTTTATGTGTGTGACGGAAAGAGGGAGAGATGTGTGAGAAAAATAGAGACAACAAGAGAAAGCATGAGAGGAGGAAAAAAACACAACAAACTAATGTAACACATGTAAAACATTCTCACTTGGAACAGCACACTGATGTTTATGTATGAACACTTGGCTTCAAACTCAGTGCTTATGTGGTCATGGTGTGTTTAATTAGCAGAATATGTAATTTAGAGATAAACAAACACTTGCCGGGACCTGTGGCTTCTTTTTTTTTTTTCGTAATGGCATTTTCAACCCAGCAAAAATGCAACATACAACATGAGAGAGCTGGCAATTTATGATGTTAGTTAGACACTACAGCGAGTCTGTGGTCTCTTCACAAGAACAGGGTAGAGAGGCGAGGGGAGGGGATGTGGGGGAAAGGGCCCGACTCTCTTTTCAATAGCTGAGCGACAGCTTGGCCGAGCTCTCTGTATACATTAATAAATTAGAATTTTAATTTTGTCTTTGTCTGCAGGAGATGGTCTAGTACTTCACTATGTACCAACAACTGGCTGTACGCTGGAATCTGCCGTTGCGGTCCCCTCTGTTGACCTCTGCAGCACAATTCCCTGCCAGGCTGAGGAAACTGTTTAGTTTGATCCTTTCAACTTATTTGAATCCTGACAAATATGCACACAACTGAAAGGTCATCACAGTCATATTTCATCCTCTGGAGCTATTCCGAAGACATCTGCACAACAAAGGGGCTTTTTTGCAACCTGACATTAGACCTAGCTGCTACAATAGCTCATTAAAAAGGGCCCCCAATGGGATGGTAAGGGTATTAAATATTATATATATACGCACATAGAGAGCAGGGCCTTCGTATTAATTACCAAATATGCCCTGGAGTTATTTGCAATTTCACACTGACACAAACAACTGCTCCATTTCCAAACAAAGATATACATCTCGAAGTCAGCTGATTTGAAATTAATGAAAATATTGCATCAGATATGCAGCGCTGTTCTCATTAAAAGCAGAAAAAAAGATGTTTTCTCTTTGCATCACAAAGGCAGTCCAAATAACTGTCCCAAAGCCTTTACCTCTTCCAACCTTCACACACACCCACCCTTTACTCCACCTCTCAGCCCTCACCGACCCCTCCAGTGGGCTTCTCCATAGCACCTCCTGCTGCTGGTGGTAGGGACCTGCCTCCACTTTTTAAACATTTCTGCTGTGTGTGTGATGAAAGGCCAACAGGGAGAGCAGGGAGCTTCCTCTGCAAGGCCGGACTCTGAGGGAGGACTGCAGCTCTCTAGATTCTCTATTCCTTCTCCCACATTTCCACACTTTCTCATGCTTTTAGCAAAGCTGCACAACTCTTGAACAGAACAGCACTGTCAACAATGCCTCCACCTGAAATCAGGATCAACTGCATACACTCGTGATCTAAACTGGCCACACAGAGGCTTTCCTAATAGTCTGTCCAACATATTTCACAACAGCAACCAACAGCAAGATGGGAGTTGAGGTTAGTTTAAGGTTAAGTTTAGTCATCAACAAATACAAAGTCTTAATCGAGCTAGCTGATGCACAAACCTGTGTGTGTGTGTGTGTGTGTGTGTGTACTGCTAACCCCCACATAATGCCTCAGCATACAAGACTGCAAATGTTGCACTGCCAATTCTAATTTCCTGTTTGTGAACTTATTCTCGTGCTGGGCTTTTCTCGCACACTGTGTTCTAGAGAGAGCTGCAAAAGTTCTCTCCTTTTTTTCTTTTTGTATTTGAGCAACCACAAAGTCAAATAACTGAGCCTGATCTGATAATCACCAGTCAATAAATAACGCGGTTTCTGAGGATGACAAACATATTTACAGTACCTGTAGGCTTTGTTGCTTGTCGTTGGCTTTGGGGGATTTGCGGCCAGTGTTTTGTTGAGACAGTAGTTGATGAGACTGAGGCTGTTGCTGCTGCTGTTGGAGGAGTATCTGCCGAGCCACTTGTAGAGCCTAACAGAGAAACACAAAAACATTTTTTCTTCAAAAAAGTCCAATAGAAATGCTTGATGGTGAAAGTCCCATGAGAGCACTTTGATGCCTATTATCAGAGCAGACGTATCTGCTTACAACAATATTCCCTTGGCCTTCTGATAGATAACAAACAAACATCACCGACAATCTTTTCATACTCTCCCATTCAGAGTCATAAAGCTGTGGATGGTATAAACATTCTCTCCACAAACAGACGGGGAACAATGCTCAGATGTCAAAACAAATTAAGAAGAAGGCAAAAATGATCCAGTGCAGCCATCCAGAAGAAATATTTATCTGCTGATAAGTTGCACTAACAGCAAACACAAATTGTCAAAGACACTAATCAGTACTTTTGATCCTCCTTTAGCACCGTCAAACTCCCCTCCAGAAAGCAAATAAAAGGCTTTATGGCTGCTTCAAATATCTGTTAAAGGACACGGCCTTCTCAGTGGAAAACAAAATACAGTGCAGTCACATGTTTATTACTCCAGCTACTCCCTTTTCCCTTACGATAAATAATCAAACATGCCATCCAGAGCAAACAAAGCCGGTGAGAGAGCTGGGAGGAAAAAAACACAAGAGGTCTTGAAAACGGTCAGCGATACCAAGAAAAGCAAGCGTTGTGTTCCCACAGTGAGCTGGCCAGCCTCACACCTCCACCAGTAAACCATCTGGGTAAATAACTGGCCTCATTCTTTCCATGTTCCTCAGACGATTGCTCCCACAATTAAACAAACAGACAGAGGGACACATCCCAGCTCATCTCACATACACAGACAATCTATAGGAGATCCCCACTCAATTATTTTACAAGTTCAGAAACCAGAAGTAAAAGAACGCAAGGTGAAAAGTGGAATGTTTAAAAGGAAGAGCACAGAGCGCAGAAAGGAAACAAGCTACAGCGATGTGTGATTGAAACCAAGTCAGTGAAACCTGTGAAAGATTGTGTGAAAATAAGACATCAACAGAGAAAAGTCAAACACAAAGCTCTGTGGATGGACAGAGGAGCAGAAATAACTCAGAGCGTTGATCTTTTAGTGGCACTGAAGTCAGACGATTCTATAACGCAGGAAGGGAAGAGACAGTTTGGGGGTTGGAGTGAACAGCTGTACGATGGTCTGTGTGTGGGTGTATGAACTGACCCTCCCAAACGCACGGCTGTCGGATGACATCATGATGCATAAATATGACCACAAAGCTACAAAGAGGCCACACTCCTGGCATTTCACCATGCTTAACTTTGAAGTACATACATTTTCCTTCTCCCTCGTCTGTCTCTGAGCCCTTATGTAAAGATAGATGACGCTAGAACAACATATCTCACTCTGCATGCCTAATTGTCTTCTGCTTTGAAATTTCTGGAGGGGAACCCCCCATGCAAGCAAGTATACTCATAAAGAAAGTGTATGAATTGAAAGAGTGAACTTCGGGAACAAAACTAACTCCCACGCATGATGGCAATATTTGCTTTACTCATTTTACATTTTAGACAGTAGTTTTTTTCCTCCAGATCTTCTCATAATCTGGTGAAAAAATAAAAATGCGATGTGAACTTAAGTGACACCAGGAAGGAGCCTGAATAATACATGAACACGTTGTGAGATTGTCTCTTGTTTGTAATCACATTATGAAGCTTTTTATTGATTTGAAATCAGCATTATGTTTAGAAAATGTTAATGATGTAAAAACAATTTCTTTTGCTTCAGATTAAACGTTACTATTTTTTCGTTGATTATATTACATATGAGGGAAAAAAACCTAATTTCTCCTGATCTTTATTTTTTAAGATAATATTCATAAAATTAATATAACTCATGCAATGTGTGTGATTATTTCATATTAACACCTCTGGTTATCTATAAATCATTCAACAATGACATGATTGTCTTTAAATTTTAATATTAGTTTAGTAGACTCTGAAACACTAAAGGAAATTCTACAGTAAAAGAGAAGCTGTAATAAACTCATACACAACGCCCATGCATGGCGTGGTGTTACGGGCATGTTGCAGAGTAAACAAAGTTGGCTGTTTTCTTTTCCCTGTAACTGATGACACATGCAGTGAAATGTGTGTGTGTGGTGTGTCTAGGGTTTATAGCCGAGGGTGTTGGAACAAAGAGAGTTGAGTCAACAGGATATGATAGGAAGTTCAGACAGTAATGGATGAACAGATACATTTCTGGGAAGTCTCCCCTCACTGACACAGTCATAATGCAACGTTAACAAGTGCATTCATATTTTGATATTCATGACAGCTCTGAAAAGCATAAGTAATTTTACTACGTTACTCAAAGTAGTAACATTAGTTAGGGCTGGGCAATAAAACAGTATCAATAATAAATTATGACAATATAATTTCCATCAATACAACAATGATTCAATATACAGCAATTTAATACTAATGCATTGTGTAAACACAGTGAGGTTTGTCTCCCTGCTCATAAAGACGAGTTTAAAACCACAACCTTCACAGGAGCAAAAGTCAGCCTTTTAACTTAATAGGAATAATAGTGTGACATTTATCATGTTTATTATCTATATTGACTGATATGAAAACGTTTATCTTGCTATAATTGGTTTGACATATTGTCCAGCCCTTATATTAACATTTATCAACAGCTTGACATCCACAGTGTCCAGCAAATGTTTAAAAAGCATTTCCCTCCCAAGTATTGTATCCTAAGTTTATGATTTAATAACAGCATAAAGGCTGTGTGCTACAGACAGGATGATCATGACTGTCTTCAGGTTATGATTTAACGAGTTTTGCTTAGAGAAACTTCACATGACAGTTTAAACAATGATAGTATTTTGCAACATGGCACAACAATGTAAAATCAACAAGCCACCTGTTCTTCGTGTCTACGGCTTTACATAATACAACTAAGGCCAACAATTATGTTATCATGCACTATGCAAAACAAGATGATTATCCTGACATATAATTAATTTAAATCTCTGCCGCATGACATATGGCTTACTAAAAATATACCTTTAGAAAGACATGAAACGAGTTAACAATGCTGTTGGTCTGAAATGTAATGAGGCTAAAATGCGAGTTGAGGGGTCTGCTCGACGCTTAGGAATGTTCCTGTCATGTTTGTATTTTAAAAAGGCCACTGGAGCTGGCATGCCTTCGAGAGGCCTAATGCTGGGCTAAAATAACCTATTGTGGACTGTCACTGCAGTGTTTACACAGCACCCACTCCTTTATTTCAGAGCTCTCTCTCTCCTCCTCACCCAGCTTCTCTGGAATTTATCTTTTGATCTTCCATACGAAGGAGTGGATGCTTGATAGACATGCAAGTGCCAGACAAAATGTGATAAACTGGAAACTGATGACAGGTGTGATGCTTTCTATGCAGAGTTATTAGACCAAATCGAATGACAGTTTAGCTTAAAGTTACAGGCATACAATGGGCCATGAGAACGACAGTGCACGGTGAAGTGGACAGAATCATACTTTTATCATTTTACACTCATTCATTTTTTGTTGCATCAAAAGTAAAATGTTCAATCCACTAATGTTTACTTAAAAACACTAATGAAAATCGAACAGAGAAAATCTGAGTTTGTGATACCCTTTGATTCGTGTAGTTTCTTCTGCCTAAACACACACATACCGACAAACTGATACAATCACAAACTGAGGTTGTTTGGGAAGCAAACTGCAGAGATAGACGCCTACACACTGTACATACACACTCACTGTCTGTGTATCTCTCTCTCACACACACACACACACACACACA